CATTCAGTCAGCCCCGGATGAAATAGCAGCAGAAGCAGGGGTTTGGGATTAGGAATTTCAGGGAATTCCGTGAGGAATCAGAACCAACAGCCACTAAAACACCAGGAAAGTTTCTCCCGACCCTTTTCCCCCTGTTTTATGGAGCCATCAGTTCCCAGCCCAAATCAGAAACAGCTTCTGTCACTGGGGCTCTCCTAATGATAAATGTGACCTTGGATCTCCCCAAAAAAATGATGCAGAGGTAAATAAATGATTCAATATTCCACAAGTCCTGCGAGTGGCAAATAGGATCAAATCCCTTTTTTATATTGCATCCCATTCCATGAGATATTTTCCCATTTTTTAAAGGAGCAGCGATCCCTGTCTACAGCTGGCCGTCAGCCTGGGTGGGATTTAATCCCCCTGCAGCTTTAATTTCTATTTCTCTGTGATTATTGCTTAATGAGAGACATGAAATGATTGCTAATTCCATCAGGGCTGCCCTACAAAGAACCGAACCCTTCCCGCCGAGGATGTCACGAGCGGCTCCGTGACCTTCCCAAAGGGTTTGGAGCCTGTTCCTGAGGAAAATCCATCGGATTTTAAATTCCAGGAGAAACAACATCCCACAGCTGGCAGGAACCACCCCGAAACCTCGTTTCCCTCAAAATGCTCACCGTTCTTACCTGGAAACCTTTGGTCCTTTGGCCAAAACGAAGCCAAAAATTCAATTTCTGTTGCTTGGAGGGGAGAGGAGCCGCGGGTGACAGGAAAATCCGGGAGGTTTCCAGGAAGCTCCCAGGAAAACGAGGCCGGAGCTGACCCCAGCTCTCACCCCTCAGAACCAAAGGCAGCCCAGGGCTGGGTTTTGGGGCTTTTCTGGCCGGGATTTTTCTGATCTGTGCTTTCCCTTTCTCTCTCAGGCAGGAGTTTTGGGCATTGATCTGGGCAGAGCCCGGGCCAGGGATTCCCCGAGGTTTGCATTGCATCAAATCGAATTTTATAGAGACCCAGAGCCATCCTCACTTTTCTCTGGAGGGTAATTCCAACAAAGGTGATTTCTGCTTGAAATCAGGCCGTGGAATGATATTTTCCTGTGGAAAAACCGTTCAGCTGCTGACTTAACAGTTATAAATTGTATATATATATATAAAAATAGAAAAAATATATAATATATATAAGATATATAAGATATATAAGAGATATAATATCTATATCTATCTATCTATCTATACCTAATATATCTATATCTATCTATATCTAATATCTATATATCTACATTGTCTATATTGTCTATATTGTCTATATTGTCTGTATTATCTACATTATCTCTATTATCGCTATTATCTCGATTATCTCTATTATATATATTATATATATTATATATTATATATTATATATTATATATATTATATATTATATATATAATATTATATATTTTATATATTATATGTATTATCAATATTATATTTTTAATATTTTTTATATTTTAACATATTTTTTAATATATTTTTATATTATTTTTTATATATTTATTTTACTGGGCAGGCCCTGGCACAGGGTGCCCAGAGCAGCTCTGGCTGCCCCTGGATCTCTGGAATTGTCCAAGGCCGGGTTGGACACTGGGCTTGGAGCACCTGGGGCAGTGGAAGGTGGATCTGGATGAGCTTTAATGTCCCTTTCAACCTAAAAAATGCCACGATTTTATGATTCCCTGAAAGAAACACAAAGGAACATCACAGATCTTTAATTATTCCCATTCCATTTCAGCATTGCTTCCCATTCCTCTGGGACTGCACTTGCTCAAGGACTAATTCTTATTTAAATACATTATCATGGATAAAACACATTCTTTCGCTCTAATATGATTAATAAAAATATTAATTATCAAGATTTTTCATTCAGGCTCAGCCTGGTCAAGCAGAGGACGCTTTGAGGTGAAGGAGGAGAAGATGGATTTCTTCTTCCACTGGAAACAAAAAAACTTCACTCACCGGAATTAAAATCCCAGAATCCTGGAATATTTTGGGTTGGAAATGACCTAAATTCCCATCCCATTCTGCCATGGGCAGGCACCTCCCACTGCCCCCGGGTGTTCCAAACCCACCCCGGGGCACTGCCAGGGCTCCAGGGGCAGCCCCAGCAAGGATTTTGGGAGAGATCTACGGGATATCATTGGGATCTATCCCAATTTAGCCAAAAATGAGCCCCAAATCCGACTGAGAAACCTGGAAAGCCGAAGTGGAGCCTTTCAGGAACAGCCCTGCTGCACATCCCAAAATTCTCTTTCACTTTTGGCTCTCGGAAGCTCCTCCTCGAGCTGGAAACCACAGCCTGCAGTGAAATGACGGGGCAGGAGTGGAAAACACAGAGAGAAATTGGAAAATGAGGCACTGCTGCTGGCCTTGGGGCAAAAAGAAGTCTCAGGACACGCCACAGGCTTCTTATAGGAAACAGTGAAAATACAAAGAACCTGAAAATGCAATAGAAAACTCTTGATTCATCCTGCTCCCTCCCAGTTTGACAGCAAAAATCCCGGTGACTTCACGGCAGTCCCAAAGCACAGAAAAGTTTGCTGCAGCCTTTTGGGGCAGCTGAGAATGGCCACGAGAAATTGGAGCTGATCTTTAAATATCCCTTGATTATTGCAAGTATTTCGGCAAAATCAAACATTCGGGCAGGTTTTCACGAGCAGCCATTAGGGAGAGTTTGCCATTAGGGAATCGGAGAATCTTGGAGTGGTTTGGGCTGGAAAATATCTCAGAGTTCATTCAGTGCAACCATCCCCAGCACTGCCAAGGTGCCCCCGAGCCCTGTCCCCAAGTGCCACCTCCCCAGGGCTTTAAATCCTGGAGGGATTTAAACCCTTTCCATGAAGAAATATTCCCTGATATCCAGCCTGAACCGGTGAAACCCGAGGCTGTTTCCTCTTGTTTGGTCACTTTTTCCTTGAGAGGAAAGCAGGATAAAGGACAGAGATGGGAAAGCTGGGAGAGACGATTTCCAAGGGAATGGAGTGACAGAACAGACAGGGAATGGCATCGGGCTGTGCCAGGAGGAGGTTTGGGTGGGACATCGGCAGGAATTCCTGCCTGGGAGATGGGGAAGGCCTGGCATGGAGCTCCCGGAGCAGCTGGGGCTGCCCCTGGAGCCCCTGGCAGTGCCAAGGCCAGGCTGGCACAGTTGGAACCCCTGCCAATGGAAAGAGAGGCTCTTGGAGGCCCCTTCCTACCCAAACCATTCCCGAGGCCGTGATTCCATGGAAGTTTATCCACGCGCTTCGCGCTGACCGCAGCCAACCCCGATTTTGGGGGAACCCTTTGTGCAGAGCCCAGCCCGCGGCATCCCCGGGATTCCCAGATTCCCAGATTCCCAGATTCCCGGTGTTCCCAGATTCCCGGTGTTCCCAGTCCCCCTCGGGTTCCCTGGGATTCCCGGCCCCTCTCAGGATCCCCAGGGTTCCCAGCCCCCCTCGAGATCCCCGGTGTTCCCGGCCCCTCTCGGGATCCCCGGAATTCCAAGATCCCCGGTGTTCTCAGCCCCCCTCGGGAACCCCGGGATTCCCAGGTTCCCGGGATTCCCAGATCCCCGGTGTTCCCAGCCCCCTCGGCATCCCCGGTGTTCCCGTCCCCCCTCGGGATCCCCGGGATTCCCAGATTCCCGGGATTCCCAGATCCCCGGTATTCCCAGCCCCCTCGGGATCCCCGGGATTCCCAGATTCCCGGGATTCCCAGATCCCCGGGATTCCCAGATCCCCGGTATTCCCAGCCACCTCGGGATCCCCGGGATTCCCAGATTCCCGGGATTCCCAGATCCCCGGTATTCCCAGCCACCTCGGGATCCCCGGGATTCCCAGGTTCCCGGGATTCCCAGATCCCCGGTATTCCCTGCCCCTCTCGGGATCCCCGGTATTCCCGTCCCCCCTCGGGATTCCCGGTGTTCCCGTCCCCCCTCGGGATCCCCGGTGTTCCCGTCCCCCCTCGGGATCCCCGGTATTCCCGTCCCCCCTCGGGATCCCCGGTGTTCCCGGCCCCCCTCGGGATCCCCGGTGTTCCCGGCCCCGCGGGGTTCCCGGCCCCGCCGCTCTCGGGATGAGCCGAGGCGCGGGGAAGTCCCGCGGCTGCGGCCGCGCTATAAGAGCCGCGCCCGGCGGGACCGGGGCAGCGACATGGAGCGGGGCGGCAGCAGCGGGAGCGGCACCGGGAACGGCACCGGGAACGGCACCGGGA